TCGTCTGATACTTGTGGAGCTTGTTCGGCATCCCGATTTGCTCACTGTCCTAGCTATGGACGACATTATTCTTTCCATCAATGGAAGGTTTCTTTTTTGCGCTTCGTCCCCTCTTTTAGAACCACTTTTTCATATCATTTTTTTATGCCGAAATTCGTCCCATTCACTTAAAAAGTTTGCTTTGGTAAGCAACTGGTTAGTTCCAGATCTGAGTATTTTTCGCTGTATGATCATATAAGCAAGTTTATTTTGACTTTATGCCTCAGCTCTCCGTTTATCATGACTTATCTTTAATTGTTCTGTTTTGGGGTAAGCTGTCACAGTGGTGTGGATTGTATGAGCCAGGCTGCCGTGTCTTTTTTTGCGCCCAGAATGCAGCCCATTGTCTTAAATTACTCGGAGATAAGGTAAATCCCACAGTAAAGTATTGCCCAACTCGGCGCAGAGTAAAGAAACTGTTTCGAGAGTTTTAAAAGATAACGACGACGTTTGCGCTAACGCGCTTGCGCTGAAATCCATAGAAAGTCCGAATATTTAGCGAAAATAAAACACAACAAAATGTTTTGACGATCTTCGAAATTCCTTACAAATTCTTTTTTTTTTTAATACAGCCCCAGCTGCAGGATTTATTCTGCTTAATTTGCTTGTGCAGTTTTGACGACATTCGTTCTTAATGTTTGTTTTGCAGGAAAGTTTCCGGGATGCTGCTGTGTGGCGTGCGAAGGTTATTAGAAAAGTTATTTTCCGCAACCGAAACATTCTGCATGGAGGTTGCAAATAATGGTAAGCCTAGATGTTATCGTCTTTTTTTTTTTTTTTTGTTAATTTACATAATTCTGAAATTCTGCTGCTAGAGGATATAGAAATCCGCTTAAATTTTAGGCTCGATGCCGTCCGATTTGAGAGAAATTCTGGCAAATAAGGATTACACCGAGTTGCAAATTGTCATTCGGAATAATGTCTACGAGAAAACGGTGCCATGTTAGTGCTTTGACTGTTTGGAAAAAAAAAAAAATCCCGAGGTTTTGATTATGTAAAGCTGCTTAAAAGCATAAATCGTTCAGACTAGCAATAAATATATGCTCTAGTGCACTCATCGTAAAGTTTTTTTTTGTTCTCTGAGAGATTTTGACTCATTTGCTGATTAAAAATTAGCATATTGTTAAATTTTAGCCTGTCTTCCTTTGGAACTGCAACCGCAGCCTCAGTTCAGGTCAAGAAATGCAGTTGAAATTTTTGGGCTATAAATCACACCCTTAAAATTTTAATGTATTGTTGTTAAACTGTCAAATAAGCGAGTTTTTGGGTCTGAGCCCGAAAAATCGAAGACAGAAAGTCTGAAGGGTGCCTGTACATCTACAGCCCAGCAATAACATAGGCTGTTGGGTATGGAAAGAACGTCTGCTTTCTGTTTTCTATACAAGAAAACCAGCAAGCAGGTATTTCATAGTTCTTGGGTTAAATTGTTTTGGCCTTCAAACATACAAATATTTTTTTGTGTGTGTGTGTGTTTTGCCAGTAGTGGGGCGTGATCCAGCTTTCCATTTCTGTGCGCATTCTCCAGCTTCTGAATCCTTGTAGGCTGCTGCGT